ACCCCAGATTCGAAGTACCAAGGTACCTCACAGTCTCTGAAATGCACCTGCCACCTCCACGTCGTGACCCATCCTCACATCCTCCCTGTGTCCCTCTTTGGCTCCGCCCTTTCCTAAATCGCTGAGACTTTGGGTCCTGCCCGGAGGCCTCCTCTCCATCCCAAGGGCCCTCATCTATCCGGGCAACCTCAGAGCTCGTCTACACAACCCATCCAACATGTAGCCATGAGGTTCTAAAGCGCCTTGATTTCTACCGACTTCATCAGCTCGCTCTTTTCACATGCCTTTTCAAGACCATCTTACATTTTGTCACCAGCCGAAGCTGGTCTCCTCTGAAAGTCCAAAATTCAGCATCCACTTTCTTTCCACCTTTCAGTTTCATTCTTGCAACCACAGATGCTTGTGACCTTACAAAGTCTCTAGATTCGTGGGCCTGCATTTTCACCACAGCCATTATTCGCCTTATTGTCATTTCTGGGTCCACTTCTTCCCTCTCCATCCTAGACACTTTAGTATATCATTCTGACCACTCCTTACCAGCACCTTCTTTCTCAACCCTCACTTGTCAATTTTCCATACTCCTTGATGCCTAACTGGGCTCAATTTGTTTGTGTGTCCTCTCCTTGAAGGCCGGCTATACAGTGCAACTGAACAAGCCCACCAGCCGGGTAGACAGGTGCCACTGCACATTTACTCTTTAACCACAGCTGAGCCTTCAGAAACACGCAACGATGCTTTTATATGACATTGGTTAAGTTCTCCTTTCAATCTTCTCAGAGGCCAATTCAAATCTTTGCCATCCTCCTCCACAGCTTGTCTTGAAACTCACGGTAAAAACAGAGCTGCCAGATATGAACTCACTCACACCAGCTTCCTCCAAGGCTGCTGAGGTGTTTATCTCTGAGACTTTCCTGACTGTTTTCCCTGCCCGAGAGGGAGTGCTGAATTTCCTCTCCTTTAAAAATAATCTCTCCACCTACAACATATGTCCCAATACCTCCTGGACACTCAGACATCTGTTATGCTATTTTCCTCCTCTCCACCAGCATCTCCCTTTAGCTCATGAATCTGCAGTGTTCCCTCGGCCTTTAACACCTTCTAAATATCAACCTTCAAAGCCAAGCTACTTGAAAGAGTCTCCAGTTTCTCCACTTGCTCATGCCCCATTCATACTTCAATCCACTGCAGTTTGGTCTCCACTCCGACACTCCAATGAACACACTGTCAAGGAGTCATTGCTAACCTGATTGCCAACTTCAATGGTCACTCTTAGTCCCCATTTCACTTCACCCAACAGTTGGCTCTATTGATCATTCTTCTTTCTTGAAACTCTTTTCTCTCAATGTCTATGAATCGAATTTCCTCTGTCTCCCTTCCTCTGAGGTCTGATCTATTTGGTCTCTCCCAGGTTTTCGGTCTGCTTTTTAAAATGCTACTGTTCCCCAGGCTTCAGTTATTTATCCTCTGCTCACTCTCATACCATCCCATAGCAATCTCAGCCATATCCACTGATACAATGATGACTCTCAAATCTTTACTCCAACTCACGCACTTTCTCGAGCTTTGGAGCCAGATTTCAAATTTCCCACAAAACATGTGCACTTCAATGACCTACAGACACTTCAAGTTTAATGTTGCACAACCAAATTTATTATCTTTTTCTCCTTATTCCTTGCCTCAGGACATGGCAACACCGTTTTCCCAGGCCATTAACTGAACATTAGCCTAGACTCCTTCTCCCCCTCTGCATCGAATCAGTGGCTAAGTCCTGTGGAATTCCATTGTACTCATACCTCCTGTATCCCTGTTCCTTCTCTCACCTCCACTGCCATGCATGCCGCCTAAGTGTAGGACCTGGTCATCTTCCATTTCCACTGCTGGAATTGCCTCTTATCTGGTACCCTGCCTTCAGTCTTGGCTCCTCCAATCCATCCTCCAGATGACTGTCAGAGCAATCTTTATAAAATGGAAATCTGAACTTCATACTCTAGTCTAAAGCCCTTTGATGACTCCTCACTGTGTACAGGTAAAGAGCAAACATCTTAGCATTTGATGCATACGTTGGCCCCACCCCTCTCTCTAGCTTTGTTTCTAGTATTTCTCCACCCCTCTAAAATCTATTCTACAAACCCCAAACACACCATGTTGTTTCTCTATCTCTGTGCCTTTGTACACACCGCCTCATTTTCAGGAACACCCACCCTCCCTTGTTGGTCTAGAGAAGTCCTTCTCTTCCTTGTAGAATCTCTATGGTAAAGCCTCACTTAACCACTCTCACCAGAGTGAAAGAGCTTACATGTTCCTTTGTATAACCTGTGCCAAGCCCACATAGCATCCACACTGCTCTGTTACATACCTCTTTGTTTGGTCCTACTAGACTATAAGGTCCTTAAAGACAAGGGCTCTATCCTTCGTGTCTCCTGTCAATCATATCATCAGCGCTTATCATGATGCTACGAGATTGCTATTGGAATTGATAATTACTATTGTTATTAAATAATTTGTATTTGAATATAAATACAAATGAATGCCCACAATTTAAATCTCAATATTTAAAATGCACAATTACAAAATGAAGAGATTTCTATAGCTGTAAGATTTTGAGGGAAAAAACGAGAGCTCTAAAAATTGGGAAGAATTTCATCAACTTAGTGTGATTTAACTACATTCCAGACTGAAGGCAAGGTGGGTAGACACCCGGATATATGGTATTGCCATTTACTAAGGTCCTTCTTCATGACCAATCAAATCGATGCACTGATACAATTTTTAGTAAGCTGTATGAGTCCACTTTAATAAGAATTGTGATTCTTATCTGATTCTAAATGGTCAATTCAGCAGATTATGGCAGAAATAACACAACTTTTTTGTAGTTTGTTTTGTTTTGTTTTGTTTTTATAATTAAAGTTTATTGGGGTGACAACTATTAACAAAGTTACATAGATTTCAGGTGTACAATTCTGTAAAACATCATCTATATAGCACATTGTGTGTTCATCACCCAGAGTCAGTTCTCCTTCCATCATCATATATTTGATCCCCTTTACCCTCATCTACCACCCTCCCTCCCACCTTACCCTCTGGTAACCACTAAATTATTGCCTGTGTCTATGAGATTTTGTTTCTTCATTTGTTTTCCTTGTTCTTTTGTTGTAGTTTTAAGTTACAGAGATTTGGGATAGTTTATTACTGAACATCATTGTGGTTCTATCTAAATACAGTAATGAAACCCCCAAAAAAATCCCACTTAAAATAACTGTAACCCCAAAATCTAAATTATACATAGTCTATAAACAGATGTAATTCTTACAATGACATAGAAGAAAGTAAAAAATTGGAAAATTATTTCACTTCTGATGAAATTAATTCATGATGGTTTGACAAAGCCTTTAAAATAATTATTTTAGAAGGTTAAAATAGATAAATAATTTAATAATATCTATTTTAAAATGACATCTTAAAACAAAAACATGAAGAAATAAAATAATAGCATTGTACAGAAAAATTACTGTAACTCTTGGAAATAAAAAGTACAGTATCAGAAACTTCAAAAATCAATATAAAGGATAAACTATGAATTAAATAGAGTTGATGTCTAACTCAAGGTTTCACCCAATTTTCGCATAGTGTGAAAAAGTGGGGGAAAAGTCATTTATAAAATGAGAAGTGTAGATTGAGACGTTCTCATCTATACACAAAAGGAGTTTCAAAAGGGGAAAATGGAGAAAAATTTTTATATGCATTGTTTAAAAATAAACTTTCACAACTTTCAAAATTTAAAGATATGTGTTCCTCAGAAAATTTTGTATGTTAGCCTAATATAGACAAATATAAATCCACGCTAGACACGATTACAGTAAAATTAAAGAATATCGAAGATAAAGAAAAAAATTTCAAAAGCTTGTAGAACAGGAAATAGCACAACTTTGAATGTCAGACAAACCAAGGACTGAATCAAAGCTCAATCCTTTGTTTTATGACTTGCAGATTTTATTTTACTTTGTGTATGTCTTTATTTTTTAAATTTTAATATATTTTATTTCCCCAAATATATCCAAACTATTGTTATTTGAACATGTAATCAACATTTTTAACATTGAGATAGTTAACTTTTTTCAAACTAAGTGTTTGAAATCCAGTATGCATTTTCCACTTACAGCACATTTCAATTTGAACTAGCCACATTTTAAGTGATCAGTAGCCACACGTATCTACTACCATATTTATTCATCAGTGCAGATCTAAACAGTAAGTCCCAAGAGGGAGGGACCTTGTCTATTTTTTAAAAGATTTTTATTAAAATATAGCTAACATACAATATTGTATTAATTTCAGGGTACACCATAGTTACTTAACATTTATATACCTAAAGAAGTGATCACCATGATTAAGCCCAGCAACCATCTGACACTGTATCACATTATCACAATATTATTGACTGTATTCCCTATGCTGTATATTACATGACTTACTTGTTTCATAACTGGAAATTTAAAACTTTTATTCCCCTTCACCCCCTCCCATTTTTAAAATACTCAGTTACAGTTGACACTCAATATTATTTTATATTAATTTCAGGTATACAGCATAGTGGTCAGACGTTTATATCTTTTAAGAAGTATGACTTGCAGATATTTAACCTTCCTGCAGCTCAGTTTTGTCAGTGGTCATACAGGCTAGTTACAGCAGTTTACCCAAACACTTCACACTCAGGTACCCAGTACATAGTAACTGCTCAATGATGTTTATTTCCTTCCCCTTTACTGAATGAAATTATTATACATTTGTATCTGAGCACCTCTTCACAAAGATGACAAAAGCCTCTCCCACTATTAGGCTATTTCCTCCCTAGACGGACAGCCAAGAACTCACACCAACCTTTAGGACTTCGTTTTGAAAGTAATATCTCCCTCCCTCTCTTTCTCTCCCTCTCTCTCAATCTCTCCTAAAACGAAACAAAGGTGATTACATCAACTTAATACATAAAGAAACTGCCTTACCTTAAATGCTAACCTGTTGCCACCAGTTGCTTGGAACGGAAACTATGGACGCTGTCTCCTGCACTGGGGAGCCCTGCACTGGGGAGACCGGCCCCCTCCCATGCCCCCTGGCCCCCTCCCTCTTCCCTTTCCTCCTCAGACCTCTTAGTCTGCCTTCTCGTGCCAATTGGATAGCTTGGAATCACTGTTGCATACTCACAGCCTGATTGGCTCAGCTCATTGTCAGTCCATATCCTGGCCCTGCCTTTTCTCAAGTTTACACTCCTGTTGCCTAGGAAATCCAGGGCCCGAAGACAGCCCAAGCTGTGTGCCCTATGGGAGAAGTCAGCAGGAAGTTTTGCTGGCAATTGTTTGGTTTCTAGAAAAGCATCAAACATTGCCTCACGTGTTTTATAAGATTATGTTCAGCAAATTTTCTTACTTCTTTTGGCAACCCCTTCTTGTTCTGCTGTCTCCAGGCAGCTTGCTGCTAGGGTGTGCTATTACCAGGTGACACTTCAAAGCACAACACCTGGGAGCAGGCAGGTATAAAGGTGATTCAAAGTCCTCTGTATCTACACACTGATAGGAGGCCATTTCCCACTGTTTCCATCATTAGTTTCTTTTCTCCCCTTTTCACTCCTCAACTCTTTTTACACCGGTTCCTTAACAATAAGTTTGCCAGATAAGAAGCCCTGTTTAGAACAACACAACTAAATCATGCTCTTTCATTGTTGTCCCTATGACATCCACCCTACCTCCTTCATGGCCACCCCTTCTCTCACTTCGGTCATGAAGTGGTACAATGAACCAAGGACTGGAACTATGAAGACCTAAGTTCCACTTTCTGTTCTGCGTTTTCCATTATAATGTAGTCAGGCAAGGGTGGTCACTGATTTCTAGTCTCTCGAGTGCATATTGCATCTGCCTTGTTAACTTCTCAGACTTGCCCTGAAGGTCAAGGAGGTGATATTGTCCGTGGATTTTAATGACAATTTGTCTTGATTGAGGATGTTTATGGCAGGGTGAGATTTGAGGGGCGAGAAAAGTCCATGTATTCAAAAATATGCCCTTTGTCTCCCTTTTGGGGTTAGATGCTATTTCCAGAAGGCCCCGCCCTATGGTGTGTGACACCTACCAAGCAGTAATAGGTACTGACATCATCCCAAAATACCCCTCCTTCTGCAGCTCACTTCATGGTATTAAACAGTTCATTTCACTCTCACTGAGTGAAATTACTAAGCTAAACTAGTAAGCTATTAAGGAGCAACCACTTAATAGTCAAGATGCATCACCAATGACAGATACACCTGTCTTTTAATCAACCAGGAAGCCAATGGAAAGCCACTGACAGCTTAGAGGACTGAGAGAGTCTGGCTCATTTTTGCATCTTCCAACGAGCCCAGCATGGTACCTTGTACAAACACGAAATCAGTCAATGTTGGCTGAGTAAATGATTGAACTGGGTAAAATGTATTCATATTAAGGACATTCAGAATACAAAATGTGCTTTTCAAAAATAGCTAGTTCCTTGTACTAAATAGATTTGTATTAGACCACAAGGACTCCATTTATTTCCTTTTACATGGATAGTTGGTTGACAGTAAATAAATAACCATCTTGCAATAACCTGCAGTTAGGATATGATAAATAAAACAACAGAAGATTGACATGGGGAAAAAAAAATCACATCCACTGAGCACTGAGTGTAGACAGAAGCACAAAGAATCAATATGTGATCATGTCTGAAGGTAATGTAGAAACAGACAAGCAGAAGAATAACTACATAATGAAGGGAAACATGACATATTGAACTTCATTTCAGAATCTTAAAATGCACCTCCAGGGCCGGCCGAGTGGCACGTTGGTTAAGAGCTAGCTTGGGACACCAGAGGGCTCCGGTTTGGATCCCACATATGAGGACCAGTGACACTGCCCTCTACAGCTAAGATGCTGAACAACAGCTCGACCTGGAGCTGGGCTGCAGCCCCTGCTGCAGTGGGTTGCAATGGGCTACCGTGTGTAGCCAGCAGCTGCCGTGAGCGGCCATCCAGAAGCCGGCAACTGATCTACCTCGCCCGGGAAGAGTGCAATGATGGTGCCAACTGGGGCCAGTGAAGCGGCATCCTCCACAACTAGACTGAAGAACAAAAGGACAGCAACTTGTCTGTTCCCCTTCCCCCAACTCCCCAGCGCTGTTCCCATCCCCCAGTTCCCCAATAAAAATCTGTAAAAAAAAAAATGCACCTCCAAATATGTGTATTTTATATGTAAATCCTTAGTGTATGTCATGTTTCATGCACAATAAAGAAAGCCTAACAAATTAAGTATTTTGCCTGTGCTTATCATTTCTCAAATGTGTGATTCTAGGTTATAATTACGGAAGGACCCTGGGTCTCCTTCACAAAATAAGCATGGATCAGGTCTGAGTATGTGAACTTGCTCCCTAATCTTAGGCTGCTCACCATTAGTCCTCTGGTTCCCCGGGAAATGGCTCTGCTTGTACATACACACTCGTATATCCCTCCCTCTTCAAAACTGTACCTGCTCTGTTATTTTGGAAATTATTATAATGTATTCATATTTTCAATTATATTCAAATGCAACAATTTGTGAATACTAAACTTTAAGGTGCCCGTGTGGAAAGACACTAAAAAACATATCTCACCCACAGGGATTTTCAAATCAATTTTAAGGACTAATCTGTATACAACAAACTGCATCCTCTTTGTTTTGATCGATGCATACACCTACAAAACCACCACTGACATCAAGATACAGAACACTTCTATGACCCCATTTGCAGTTCAACCCTACCTCAGCCCACAGCCCCATGCGACTGTTAATCTGCTTTTTGTCACTCTAGATTAGTTTATATTTTCTTGAGTTTATATAAGTGGAATCACTTCTTTGAGTGTGGCTTCTTTTTCTCAGCATGATCATTTTGAGGTTGATTGGCAGTGTTGTGTGTATCAGTAATGTGCTCCTTTGTATGGCTGAGCAATAGTCCACTTTATCGATAATACCACAACTTGTTAATCCATTCACCTCCTGATGGGCATTTAGTTTTGTTTTTGTTTTTTTTAGTCTGGGGCTATTACTCAAAAAGCTGCTATGAACATTTGAACATTTTCAGGTGCACACGTTTTCATTTAACTTGAGTAAATACCTAGAAATGGAATGGCTGGGTCACATGGCAAGTGTACACTTAACGGTTCAGGCAACTACAAAGCAATTGTACTAAGTGGCTACACCGTTTTACATGCTCATCAGCATGGAATGTACGAATTCCAGTAGCTCTATCTCCTTGCCAACTACTGGCATGGTCAGTCTTTTTAAATCTAGCCATTCTAGTAGATGCGTTGTGGTAACTGTGGTTTTACTTTGTATTTCTCTGATGACTACTGTGTTGAGTAACTTTTCATGTGATTATTGCCCATTTGTATATCTTCTTTTGTGAAATGCTTGTTCAAATCTTTTGTCCATTTTTATACTAGGTTATAAGATTTATTTAGATATATCCTAGTTGTAAGTTCTTTGTCTGAAATACTTTCTCCCAGTTTATGGCTTACACTTTGTTTTCTTACTGGTCTCTTTAAAAGAGTGAAAGTTTTATATTTTGATAAAGTCCAATTTATCAAATGCCTTTATGATTTTAGCTTTTGTGTTTTGAATAATAAATCTGTGACTACCATAAGGTTAAAATGACTTTCTTTAAGAGCTTATAGTTTCAACATTTGTATTTAGGTCTATGATACATTTTGAGTCAATTTTTGTGTATGGTATGAACTAACAGACAATGCCTATTTGTGTACATTATTAAATAAAGGTCAAATCCCACTCAGCTATATAATTGTTCCAGTACAATTTGCTAAAAAGATTTTACTTTACCCATTGGATTGTCTTTGTACCTTTGTCAAAAATTAATTGAACATATTTGTGTGGGTCTATTTCAGAATTTTCAAGATGTGCCTGGAGAGAGAGCCAGACACAAATCACAGAGGGCTTGCATTCCATGGGATGAGAGCCAACAAAGGGTTTTCATCAGGAAATGATGAGATCAGATTTCCATGTCATCAAAGCCACACTGGCAGCCAACTCTGAGATACTTGGAGGGCACGAGACTGGAGCCATCCTTCGGGCTCACTGGCTGCTGTTGGTAGGTTTCATGGATGGGGGTGGAGCCTAGGAAGCAACAGGCAGGAGGAGTTGGCCTCACTGAGTTACCAGATGTTCAGGAAGGAAGACACAGTGGGGGGAGGAGAGAAGGAGTTACCAGCCGGAGAGCGTCATCCTTAGGTCCCTGTGATACTTAGAAGGGGAATGAAATCCTGGCTATTCATTC